TTATAAGTGCATACAATATAAAGTTTAGTCAAAAGTATAAAAGTTGTGAATTCAATATTTTAAGGTTAAATATGAATATAAAAAACAAAAGTTAATCGCTAATTAAGTATTGGATTACAATAATTTTGAAAATAATTATAGTATGTGTATAGTATATGCGCATACATTATAATCCGAAGTTTTGTCACTCATAGTGTGGTCCCGATTGGCTCGAGTGTGTATCAGAAATACAAGCGATGGTCGGCCATATCAGATCCCTGTCCACATTCGCACTAATATTAATATAATGGAAGTTTGACTCACTATATAAAAACATTTTAAAGTAAAATTTAAAACTTACAAAACATTTTGTAAAAGTAAATATATTTATTGTTAATATAAAAGTGTTTTGTAAAACATTTTGAAAAATTAAGTGAACATTAAATGTCATACAATTGTGTTATTAAAGGTTTGTAACCTTAATAAAAATAAAACTATTATCATCAATATTTAAATAAAAATATCAACAATGTAATTAATAATTGTTGATTATTAAAAATAATACACTTTAAAAAATAATATTATTAAAACTTTAATTGTAATCAGAATAAAACATATAACACATCTGATTAGATGCAACAAGGTCGCTCACAAATAGTGTTAGCGAGCCAATCGCAAGGTATGTCCGCCCATTTTAAATTAGCCAGGTGACTGGCTGGGTGCACATAAACACAAACCTCGAGGCCCACCCCATTTGGTTCAACTCCACCCAAACCAGAGTCCCAATTGGTGTACGTCAGCCGATCGCCATTAGACCAAATAAAACTGTCCGAGCTGTCCGCTTTTAGCACCCTGGTAGCATCTAGCCAAAAGTAAGCATCAAACGTTTGATTCTTAAACCAGTGGGTAATGAAATTGTGCTTGGCTGCATTTTTAATTGAAATGAGCTTGGCGTTATATTTCTGGGCGCATGTTTTCAGTGCAGTCGTATAATTGGTTCCGTTAGATGTTTTGTCGGGTATTAGTAGGCATTCGTTGTACACACCTTTAGTCCAACCGGACGGACAGTCTACTTAATAATAATAATAGTAATAATTCAAATAATTAATACATTAAAAATATTGTAAAAATTAGTTATGCAATAATAAAATAAATATATTTTATAAAATTGAGGATCTGGATTTTTATAAAAAATTGTCTTAATATACATAATTATCATGAAACTCATAAATCGTGATTTTGATTTTTTGAATTTTATATTTTTTATAAAAATAATAATCACCGCAAGTTGTGTCGCATGTCCTGGTAATATAATTGGCATTGGTAATCGTAATAGTATTCGTAAAAGTCCCACCATTGATGTTGATTACTTGACCATTATTGCCGCAATAGTTACCATTATTGCTAGTATTAGCTAATTTAAAATTTATAATTTAATTGATATGCTAAATACGGTAAGACTTAATAATAATATAGTTATTTTCACTATTAGATATTGTAGTGTTAATAAGATATAGCTACCAGTATGAATTCACTATTTATAATTAGCTATTGATAGAAAATGCATTACATTTAAACTTTAAACTTGTAAAAATTATTTATACAATAATAAACTAAATCTATTTTATAAAAATTATAACATCTGGACTCCTATAAAATTCGTCTTAACGTACAAAATAATCATAAAATTCATAAATGGTGATTTTGATTTTTTGAATTATATATATATTTTATAAACATCATAATTACCGCATTGTGTGTCGCTTGACCTGTTAGCACTGTTGCCATTGGGAATTGTAATAGTATTCGTAACAGTTTGACCATGGTTGTTGAATACTTGGTGATTACTACCGCAGTGGTGATCAGTACCGCACATACTAGCTAATTTAAAATTTAATATTTAATTGAGAATGCTAATTATGGGTTATATGAAAAGCAAACTACGGTAAGATTTAATAATAATATAGTTATTTTCACTATAATATATTATAGAGTTAATAGGATATAGCTACCAATATGTATTCACTATTTGTAATATATTATTTATTTAAAACATATCAAAATTTGTATAAAATATAAGTGACAGTTGATTATGAGATATAGACTATTATATAATATTCATAAGTATTAAAATAATAACCGAAAAATATGCAAACATTCCTTGAATTGAGTTATCAATTGCATTATAAACAATTCATAGATTTCACTATTAATAGAAAATGCTCTAGATTTAAACATGAAACTTATAAAGATAATTTTTACAATAATAAAATAACATAAATTCTATAATAAAATTAGCATCTGGACTCCTATAAAAATCTGTCTTAACCTACAAAATAGTCAAAAAAATTCATAAATCGTGATTTTGATTTTTTGAATTTTATATTTTTTTATAAACATAATAATCACCGAAATTTGGGTCGCAATCCGTGTTCGTACATTTTTGACCATTAATCGTGACAGTATTGGTAACAGTACCACCAGTGGTCGTGATTCGTTGGCAATTATTACGGCAATAGTACTCATTATCG